ACATCGATAGCTCATTCCTGCAAAAAGATGCACAGGAAAAAAAGCCGGTGAGAACTTAGGCCAAAATGTTAGCCCCGGGGATGGTGGGTGATATTACCCTTCTTTCGCTGGGATTTTCACATTTCCTAGGTTGTAGGTGAGACCTTTATAACCAGAAAAATGAAGTTACCATGGAAAGGAGAGAAGTCCAAGAAAAGGTGCCCGAGAACAGCCAGCTCCCCATTCCCATTCATGAGACTCTGGGGTCACCATGTGTGAGTGGCTTCCAGAGGGACCCTGGCCCCAGGCACATCCTCCAGAACAGGTGCGCCTGTAGCAGGCAGCTCAGCCTGTGTGTCTCTCTTTCTTGGAAATTGGGTCAGCGAAGAGTCCAGACCTGGGGCCTACTGGGATGCAGCACACCCAGAATTCCGTTCAAGCCTCTGATGTCCTTCCTGTCGTGTGGGTTAGGCCTCGGGGCCCTCGCCTTCCCACCTCCACCTGGACAGCCACCCCACCCCACCCCAGGCTGCCCTCTGCCCCTCCCAGCCAGAGGTGACCCTAGGCTGTTTGCTTCACCTCCATCCGGGTGGCCAGGTGGGTGCGTAGCACCGTTGACTGCCTTCCTTACCGACGCCGGCCCCGAAGTGCCCTTCCAGGGGGTCCTCCTACGATGTAGTCAAGTTCGACCTGGTGGAAATGGTCTTTGGAATCACAGCTGAGCCTTGATCCTGGGTGAGGATGCGATCTCCGTCTCCCCCATGTACCTAGTACAGAGCACCCATTCATTCGGTCAGCTGTTATTCAGCAAGTGCTAGGGCCCAGGCTAGGTGCCAGGGGCACAGATCTGCTGATTTTAGGGTGTGACGTGTCTGTGTGTTTGAGCACATGTTTTGTGCACATCACCTGCACGCACACACAGCGTGAGCATCTCCGTCATATGTGAACTCTGGTCTTTGAGGCTGTGACAATGTGTAATCCTGCCGGGACCCCGGGCACACCTGGTTAATTCATTCTGCAAGTGTTTAACAGACACCCACTAAGGAAGTACCAGGCTCTGACCCCAAAGAAAAATGACCCAAGGTCTCTGTCCTCGGGAAGTGCCGTCTCGGGGGCTGTCGCAGTGCGGACTGGTGGGGGCAGAGGCTGGCAGGGCTGGGGGTGGTCAGAAACGTGGTCCTGGAGACACGGGGAAGAGTGGGGAAGGGTGTTCCTGCCCAGCTGTGAGGATGATCTCCAGCATCCCCTTCAGCCCAGCGACCCAGGGCCTGGGACGGCCCTCCCCCCCCCCA